AATGCGGAGCGCAAGTTTGTCTGCTTCTTGCACGTGACGTCAAAAGGCCGAGCTCTTATTGGCTGATTAAAACAAATAGTGGGTATATCTCAAGGCACCTAGCATTGAGTCCTACCCACTATCATTTCAATAAAAACAATCGAAGCTCGACGTCGTTCTGAAGTCACTGCATCTCCTGTGCAAGAAGCAGACGACTTGCTCTCCGCATTGCTTGGATTCTTTCTAGCACAATGGTTAGAATTTGCTTCGCTCAGCAGAACATTCCCACTGTTCTCCTCGTCCTCCTGCCGGCTTGCTGTTTGGGTGCCAGCAGGTGTATTCGCCACGTACGTCATTTACAAGAAACTCTACAGATGATTGAGGCAACCAATTGTCGCTTTTATGTGTTACGTTTACTACACGAATGAGAAACGCGGAAGCAGTCTCAGCAAAAGCACTCCAAACACGCAAAATAAATATATATTATGCCAAATGTTTATTTTTTATATACTAGTCATTGCTTTCCCCAGAAATCAGATGATAGTTGAACAAACGCAAGCAAGCTCTTTTGTACATTTATGTACCATGAGGTCCTGAAAAAATTCCCACCCAAAATGAAAAGGTACATCGTGTGTGTGTGCGTGTCTGTGTGTGCGTGCGTGTCTGTGTGTGTGTGTATGCTTGCGTGCGTGCGTGCGTTCGTGCGCGCGCATGCGCGTGTGTCGGGGGGGGGGGGGGGGGTTGCGGGGGGCACAACAAGCTAAGTGAAACGGAATCTCTTGAACTTAAAATTTTCTTAACTTTTCTCTCATCACAGTCTCGGGTTTTAAACATCATGATTAACGTCACAGTGGAATATGGACGCAAGAACCCGGCCCCCTCAAACTCGGGTGTAACTGGAACCGATATCGCGCGCAAAAATCACAGACAAAAAAAAAAAAAAAATGCGAGGACGGATATGGAATTTGTATGTCATGGGAAGAGATACCCCGCATTGTACGGATGCTGCAGATTCGCGTGCCACGGTGCGATAAGCACGAGGGAACCCGCGGCGAGCACGCTTGTCGCGTACGGATATCGCAAATCACTCAATAGATAAAATTAAAACAAAAAGAAAAGAAAACAACGGGATGCGTGATTTTTAGGGGGCGGGCGCTTGTAAGAGACTTTACGGCGATTTAATGCGTGTGTGTCGTATTTCCAATACACTCGAACATGCTCAAAGCCACTGTGTAAAAAAAGCAAAAAAAAAAAAAAAAAAAAAAGCAGATTAAGTGAATAACGAAACGATGCATCGAAGCATCGTCTCGTCGTTTGTCAGAATTCTGATGAGTACTCTAACAACGCGACTTGTGCATGTGCCATTTTCGGAGACCAGGCTACACGCCGTTTTCACGACCACATCGGTATGGTGGTTTCATAGCAATAGGGCTTTTAAAACGTTACCGCGTACCGCGCACTACTGGAGCCTTTAAAGCAGGCTTTTAAGCGCGCACCCCGCGGTCACGGTATCACTCGGGCGCGCGCTTAAAATAATGCATCAAAGGCTCCGGTATTGCGCAGTACGCGGCAACGGTTTGCTAAAAGTCCCTATTTTTACCAAAATTACCTAAACAAACACAACACTGTAAGCCACTGTGGCCAATAAAAAAATCTAATAAATGCATGCTTCAATAAACCTAATACACGCATGCTTAAAAAAATTAAAAAAAAAAAAACTTTTTTGGCTAGTTTTGGGGAAACATGTGCGCTTGGGAGCAGGATGGCGCAGCAAAATTCGATTGGCGCACAATGGCGCAATTGGCGCAGTGCTTCCACCCCTGCTCTACATAATCCCACTCTTCAAAAAAAGAAAAAGAAAGAAAAAATTGCGTGTATGTTTATACAGTCGGAAGTTAGCTTGCCTCAGTGGGCGTCTGCTGTCTCAGCTGTAGAGTAATTTAGCCAGCGCGGTACAACCGCTGGCCTGGGGTCTTTAACGCGCACCACGCAGTAGTGACACACAACCGCACGCCGGTACGATGCTCATCCAGATCGAAACGGGCAGGGGCGGGGATCCACTCCTTCTTTTTGCTTCCCTTGAGGCACTGACAAATAAAAATCAAAGGTTGGGTCAATTATGTTAACGCAATATACTTCAAACACGTAGCATGAGTGCTGGCAAGATATTTGCTGCCTTCAATCTAGATAAGATTGGAAATTTACATGCTAAATAACAAGTAACTTAAAAGCTGAAATATATTTCGATGGAACTACAAAAACCGAAGACTAACTCTGCAAGTATAGTGCTATCTAATACACCATAATTGAGTAGAATCGAATTACAGCGTCCCCCTTAAAAAAGACTGGAGCAAAGCAAGTATAGACTCTGCCGTGCCACTACAACAGAAACAATGGTATTGTGATCTCGTGGAGATCAGAGTTCGAAAAAATTGTGACAGGCTTTGGCACGACAAATATGCCAATGTCATTATTCATTTTTGCATATTCTACGGTGACAGTGCAGGGAAACAATCACACACCAGATACTCAGAAAGACAAGCACATGCGCTGAACGTATAACTTTTGTGTATTCAACTAATATAGATACCAAAAACTGGTGAGACGTACACTACCTTAATTGAGGACATGCATGTACATTTCCCTAGAAGCTTGTAATTAATACTTCAAAGCCTAAAAAAAAAAAAACAGTAGGAAGAGAATAGATGCTTCACCATATAAAGCAGCCTGAGTGTTTCTGGAGGTGTCGAATTCGTTACACGTACGTTGGATCATATGAAACACGTGTACAGCAAATGATCTTTAGAGCTAGACATTTCGCGAGGAATAAATGCCAGCGTCAAAAATTATTTCGCGGGCACAAATTCTTGCGATCGGAAGTGATATGCTATGCATTAATCACCACGGGGTGAATTCATCACGGCACCAATTTTTGGCAATTTTTTTCTGGGTACGAACTGCGAAAATTAAGGCGTCTGCAGACGACTGGGGTGGCGAAAGCTACGGACTTGCTCGATCAATCAATCGCTGTTTTTGTCGGGTCCAGCTCTCAGCAGGCAAGTACGGAGAGTGGCATCGGCGATGGAGGGGCACCGCGCTCTTCCAGACATTCTAGCTTACCAGTAAACAATACGGCGGAGGGAGGAAATCAACCTTCCCCCCCCCCCCCCCCCCCCCCCACCCCCAATCCGTCTCCCAAAGAGTTCCGCCGACTCTGATCGACCTTAAGCGAGTAGACAGCCTCTGCATCGAGGAAAAAAGAAAAAAAGCCTCGCATAACACCATTCGCGCACAATTAGTAATACTGGTAAAAGCGAGCGATCTACAGACAATAACAAGCGTTTTGAACGCAGGAAATAATCTAGCCCAAACGAACGAAACACAAACTTACTTAGATCCCGTGCCATGATCTTGGCTGTTGAGCAGATTTGACGTAGTTCCACGTCCCACAGTCGCTTCCGTCTTTGTCGGACACATTTGAAACTAAGGCAAACTCCACGCATCACCACTCATCGGGTAATTGGACCGTTAGCCGGCCGTGACAGTGTTGCCAGACGGAGAAAAAAAAAGTCAGCAGATTGATCCCCAAAAAGTCAGTAGATTTGCACGAAAATCAGTAGATTCTACGAAGACTGTGTTTTGCCATGTTTTGCTATTTCCATTAAACCACACTTCGAAGAAATAGTATAGACTCTAGAGTAACAAATAACATGGTAATAAACACCAATAAAAATGAAAAAAAAGACCATTTCATGAGTAATTTTTTTTATGGAGGACAAAGTAACAATAGCACCGTGAATGTTTTTTTTTTTTTTTTTTTATCAGCATTGACTACTGTTGCGATTTCGAGGATTATTCTTTGAAATCGAGACTGAGCCACTTTTGGGATCAACAGATGAGAGCGACAGTGCGACATCCGCCTGTCGCCGTTATTGAAACGAAACCAAAACAAGACGTTCCGGCAAGTGCGCCCCTATGGAGCGCGCGTACATGTCCAATGTAAGTTTTCTGCAAGCTGCCATCTTTCCTTACTGGGCTGTGGAAGGTTTTTGACGCAACGCTGTTGGCGCGGAGCACTGTTGAGGCTACGCGTCGTCTGCCACGGGCTTTTTTTTCTTTTTCGCCTGTCTCAAAGTTTGCGTTCAAACGTGGAGAAACTTAATTCGTTAGCTTTTTAAGCCACCGAGGAATAACATATTATATAATTTTATTTCCAGAACCTGCCTGATAAAAGTAAAGAACCGAAATTTAGATGTCGATCCCATGCATTCCGCCGGGCGAATGAATGAGAATGGCGGCCCTCTCCGCTCAGCTGGGTGGGCGCAGCCGAGAGTTCATGCGCACACGCCTCTCGCTCTGCGACGCAGGCTGATTGGCTCACTCGGGAGAGCGACGTTACGGCGGCGAGATCGTAGACTAGCCAAACTCTCCCCATATAAGGCTCTGACTCCTGTCACCGTCGGATTGCCGTCGAACCTGCTCTGGGTGAATAGATAGATGAATATACGGCTAAGTCACTCGAATAGGGCGTGCTTCTGGGCCATTTAGCCAGTGCTTAGTTTTTAATGCTGGGAGAATATGAATTTCCTTTGATGGGCGACCCTGGGAACTGAAGGGGCCAAATAATAAATTTTGATATGTTTACTAAAGAAAAAAAGTCAGTAGATTTTCTTTTTTTTCAGTGAATCAGTAGACCCGAAACGAAATCAGTAGATCTACTGATAAATCAGTAGACCTGGCAACACTGGGCCGTGATCACAGGCATTCAAACGCACACGGCCGGCAAAACGGCGAGCGCCTATCCAGAGATCTGCCCGTGCCTAGATCTGGGGACAACGCCAGCGTAGGGAAAACCGCTCGTAGGGAATCCGTTCGCGTAGTGGTGATGATGATGATAATCATGTCATATAACACCTGAGACTGTGGTCGAAGAAGTTGGAGACTTTTTAGTAGAAGGATCAGACACAAAAAGGGACGTCTTAAACTCAGCTAACTGGTTTATTTCTCGACTATCCTATATCATGATTGACTTGCCCACTGGCGCCACCCTGGCCTCGCTGTTTTCAACGGTTCTCAGGTTGCCGGAGCGGCGTGTTTGAACTGTTTGAACCACAGGTTTGAACCACAGGCACCACAGGTTTGAACTGTTTCAACGGGAGTAATGGCAAAACGGACGGAGTAGCACTGCGTGGCCTCGCAATCCCAGCGACCCGACGAGCTCGCAAAGCGGTGCTCGGAAGACGAACCTCCCAAAGCCGACGACGCGCATTCACCTCTGTGGACAGCGAAGAAACATCGTCGCACTCTGACAACGGCGACTAGTACACGGCATTTATTTTTTGTTGGCGTTCGTTTCATAAAACCCGTCTGTAAGGTATGTGTTCAATCTTCATTATTTTACCTGCGCGGTAGAACCGGCCAATATCTGAAAGCTAAATCAGCCTGCGCGTTAGAATCGTGAAAACACGGCCAAGCGAATCTGCTGCGTCCTCAACCCCTTTTACCATGACACAGGATGTCGTAGCAGAGTCTTGCGTGTTCATCGCATCATAAAACGCAAATATGCCGTGTCCGCAATCCGCGGTATCAGTTCCCGTTTTATGTGGTTTGTAGCGGACAGCCCAGTTGCTTATCGCGTTTTTTTAAAATAAATTTTTGCTGTCGCATTCCCAAAGATAGCCCACCCCATGTTTTCCCCAATTTATCTCTTCATTTTGGTTGGACATCCTTACGGGATTTTACGGTAGTTTTGCTTTGTCCTCTGCATAGGTCAATGTCCTTTCCACTTTTCAGGAGCTTGTGACCACCCTGAAAGGCTTGACGAGCTACGTGCTCGTATTCAAGTTGGTGCCACGAGGTGGGCCTTTCGGGCAGGCCAGGGAGGATGAGAGGCTGTCCCTGAACCGCCTACTAGTACAAAAAGGTGTTGCCCTCGGCGTTACCATCGTGAATGTCGACCGACGTAAGTACATGGAACTTTCACCCCTGGTGCACTGTCCTTTTGAGTTACATGTGACATGCCCCTTGTGACGAGATGTCATCTTCCGTGTTATTGGTAGCCAGGTATTCATGATACCTCTGGAATGCTGTTCATTGAGAGTGACAAGGTTGGGCGGATATAACCTAAAAAGCATTTGAAATGACAAATACTGGAATACACAGCAGTGACTGCTAAAGTACTGATACTAAAATACATTTATAAAAGGAGCATTGCAAAACAACTCAAATATATATGACTAAAAAATGGCTGACAAGTATCTTTATATATGTTTTGTTTGAAGGAGAAATCCTGATACTGAAATATGGGGGGCAGTCAGCTCATTGAACGACGTTTCATTGACAGTTCGTTTCATCGACAGTTTGTTACATCGACAGCTCAGATAAGCTTTTTTTCTGTAGTGACTCCCCGCAGAATGTTTCTGCGAAGCAGCTTGAGTGGGTGGGCCCACTGATCTCTACTAAAGGGGGCTGGATGGCGCTTAGCTGCTCTCCGAGCCTGGCGCAAGTGAAGCCACGGGAAGTTCGATTCTTGTCCCGGAAGCTTCCTAGTGCATTCAGTCGATATTTTGGACCATGCTTTTTTGTTTCTTTGATTGGGTTTTAATACTCCCGTTCTGGATTAAATCCCGAGAATGAGGCATTTGAACTTGAGACATATTCATAACTTGATCAACTAGAATCTCAAAATGTTTACATTAAATGGCTTCCCATGATACTTCTCGGGTCCACATGCACTCTTACTGCGCAACAAGCAGGCTCTCTTGAGGGAACAAGCGAAAATCCAGCGCCCTCGACGCTTTTCGAACCAGCACTCGGAAGGGTTACAAAGCCTGCCAAGCACTCACTTCCGGGACAAGCCGCTCACCTCCGGTGGCTTCATACTTGTTTGCTCAATGCGCATACATCCAGCCCTCTCTAGTGGAGATCAGTGGGTGGGCCTTGTCGTGAGGATGACGCCAAGCCCTATGCCGTTACATACCCAAGGCGAGTTCCTCTTCCACTGCTCTCACAAGTGGAGAATGAATTGGAAAGGATGAATGAAATGGGAGTCATCAAGAAGGTGGAAAAAGCAACGGAGTGGTCCGGCATCCTGCGGTACAGTGACACGGCCAGCAGCCCAACCAAGGTCCTACATTGTAAGCACATCGACAGGACTAACACGACGCACCGGGACTCACATGCAGCCAACGGCGGTCACTAGGAGCGAATGACCAAGCAGACCACCGGACAGGTTGGACTTCTCGGCTCCCTAATCCTAAGAAAGGGGGGTATCGTGAGTGGCATTGCGAGCGACCGCCGACTGCAGCGCCGCGACGCGCCTATGCGCGGAGTACTCTCGCTCCGGGAGGCCAGCGGACGGGGGAGAACGGCGCAACCATGCGAGGACATGGCTGTATGTCGCGACTGCACGTGTTGCCTTTAACCCGCAATAAACTGTTCTTGTTATACCTGAACAACGGCTACGACAGGCCTGGTGTGTTAATATTTCTGTAGTGAGCCGCCACAGACGGTCGCTGCAAATGATGTAGACGGGTGGGCCGGGTAAGTTAATGCATGCCCCAGTGACACACACAACGAAACATCACAACATCGTACAGTTAGCGTAACGATTGTCGATGGCATGTCAGTGTCGACCAGGGGCGGATATAGAGGGGGGTTCCGGATGTCCTGACCCCCCTCTTGATTTCTGCTTGTGTAAATTTTAGGGCGTAAAACGAAGGAGAGGGGGAGGGGGTCCCTAAACATATGGTACGCTGACCGACACCTGACCCCCCCCTCAGGAAATTCCTGCATCCGCCCCTGGTGTCGACGAAATGTATGTCAATATGTCGTTTGACTAAAAGTTGTCGATGAGATGTCTGTCGATGAAACAAAACAGATATTAAAATGTAGGTTGCCACAGTAGCGGGGTTTGCTATAAAATGAAGCAAAAAATTATAGTCCGGGTGTAGCAAGCTTCATATTTTGTCACAGGTGTATTGCAGTGGTGGATGTTACCATGTGAAAGTTAAAGGCACTAATTTGTTTGTGCGAAAAATCGGAAGAATATATGCAAGATTTTCAGTTATGAATGCTGATGTTCACAGCTGAGGGTTGTGTTTCGTTCTCATGTTGAGAGATGGCAGAGCACATCACGGAAAGTAGACCGCACTGTTGAGCAACGGGTCTACGGCAGGGTGTCTCGACCCCAATTGCGTTTTTCTGTTGTGGCTTTCATCTCTGCGTGCATGGCTATATTGTCACGAATAACAAATGGTGAGGCGGCGAATAACTGAAGAAACTAAATGTTTAATGGGGCGAACTTGTGCCCAAAACAAAATAGAGAAAGGCTAGCGTCGCAGGCGTCAAAACAGCAGGATTGAGCGCTGGGAAGAGTCTGACTTCGCTCGCCATGCGGAGTCCCTTTTGTAGCTGCGTGGGTCTCTGGAACATTTAGCCTAGACATTTTGGTGCGTAGATTATTCATAGCTCGGCCAGACAAGCAATTTCTCGAATTTGCGAGAACGCCAAGTAGAAAGAATAAATAAAAGAACATTCCGCTGCCTGGAATCAAACCCAAATCTTCTGCGCTACAATCAAGTGCAGTAACCATTTGGCCACGTACGCGCTCACTCAGCGACGTCCGTGAAAATATTAGAAGAAAGCTGTGTTACAGCAAGATTATCTTCAGCCTCGTCGGACTCGCCATCACGGTTTTTTCTAATGGCAGCACGTTGCTCCATCTCCCAACAGAAGCACCAAACATTGCTTTCGGCCATATGCGTCCTGACACAGATTGCTAATGCTTTGCAAAAACAAAGCTGCACCTTTCGATTCTACAAGGCAACACCCATCACTAATGTAGTAGTTTGACAGAACCTTCAAGCTTGCCTTGTGCAGGTGCCACTCTTTCCAGAGAATTCTACAGCTAGCTCCGCTATTGGTATCACGTTATACATACTTTGAGATATTGTAAATGTCGTCTTCTGTGTTATTGACAACCAGGTGTTAACGATATCAAGAAAGATCACTCCAGCCATGTATATTACTTTTTACATATAGTATGCAAGCAACACAGACCAAAAGAACAATTGCTAAACTCACTTGCATTTGTGGATGAGCTTTTCAAGTGAATGATGTTCAATCAGTTAGCACCTGTCGATTTGGGCGGAGGGCCGTGGAGCTTTATGTTAGCGGCTGTAAATATGCTCTCGACAGGTGCCGATAAAAATGGTGTTCTGTGGTTTATTTGTCTTCTAATCTTTGTCCATGCTTTACGCATTGCTTCTTTTACTATGGTCAACCAGCTTGCACAATTGTTAATGCCAACTTCATCTCCACATCAGTTTTTGGTCCTCCTAAATTATCTTGAGGTGCCTTCATGCTCTGATTTGGTGAGGTCGCCTTTTCAGTAATGATCTAGTGACGTCACAAAGGAAGGAATCGCTGTTCTCTTATCTATTGATAGTATTTGAAAGCATAAACTCTGCTCCCATCCATCGATATGGCACGAAAGTGCAGAGCACACCTGTAAAGCTTGTGCTTGCAGTGCCTTAAGGCCCGTTCACACTCTTGCGACCGAGTACGACTGAGAGAGACGAGATCTCTTACAACTTCTTAAATGTTTCTAGAACGAGGGAACACACTGACATTGTGGCGCCACCTATGCGGTGACCCTAGAACTGCATTTCACAAAAGCGAAGGTTTTGCGGGATTTCCGAGGTCAAATGTGCGTAATACCCATAGAAAGGCTCGTTTATAACATTGACAAAAGTTTTTCTAGCCAAAAAAGAAAGGATATTGCGCGAGAAATAAAAAAAAATATGCCGGACCGCCGAGTTTACGCTGCTTCCCAATAGATGGCGCCAGTGTGTTCTCTGGTTTAAGAAGTTTTAAGGAACCCAGGTTTAAGAGGTCGCAAGCAGTCGCAAGAGTGTGAACGGGCCTTTAGATGTTCAGAATCTAGATGAAGTTTCAAGGAAAACATTTGTTATTCTTTTAAAATAGAAAATAGCATCGCCTGTTGATTAATCTTATAATGCTTTACATTTTTTAAGCAGACCTTATACGAAACAGTTTCTTTTATTTATTATTCTATCATAAAGATAATTCACACTGTTTTTATTCACTGACCTTGTTGCAAACCTTGCAAAAGGCACAAAGCAGTACATGATGAGGTGCACGCGTCATAAACCACAAAATGGCACATAACTCATCGCAAGCTGAGCTTATCATAAGCCGTTAAGAGGTTACATGATCAATTAATTACACCCTGAGGGTCCTCATGGACAAAGACAAAATGCTCTGATCAGATCCTGGTCCGCAAGGTACCAAAGCCTTGGTGGCCTCTTCACAACAGTCTCCAATCATCTAAAGCAAAAAAAAAAAAAAAGGCTTTATTTTTTGTTTTTAGTTTATTGATTAATTGAAAACATTAAGGAGCTACATTGGGTTTTGATTGTATTTTTATGCCACAAACACACCCAAAATGAATTTTCCTTAGTAAATATAAATAACCTATAACTAGGCCGTATATCCCCCGGTGTTTGTTTATGAGAAAAATCGGCGGATGTTTTTCATTGTTTATTTATTTTTCAAACATTGGTGTCTTTCGACCAGGGTTGGGTCAAAATACTTAATGCACTCGGAAATACAAATGCTGGGGTACATAAAAATAGCTAAAATAGTGATACTAAAATATAAATGTAAAACTGTATTGTGATATGCATCGGAAATACATTTTAACAAGGAGCAAAACATATTTGTAAATACAAATGCAGGAATACCTCTTAGGGATGGCAGAAATACAGATATTGAAATACATTTTTCCAATTTGCTTGAGGTGCGAACTGTCATATCATAGGCAACAATTTAGTTGGGAGGTGCAATAAAAATCATTCTTGCTTTGTCTGTTATTTTACACTGAAGCGATACAAAAGAAAAACATGCAAGTGCTAAACTCAGTTACACTTGAAGAGCAGGAGCTTCTCAAATAGCCCACCTGTGAGCCGTTGCCCATTCAAACGCAACGTCATGTTGGCAAAAGAAAAAAAAAATAGCTGCTCAACAGTTGTTGAGGAATACAGGTTCATATTAAATCAAAGAAACATTGCTTTCACAGCTGGGAACCACATTTTTTCATTAAGAAATGTGCCACTCACAGCACATTTCTTATCTTCGCAGAATAGAGAAGAGGTCGCATAGACAAATATTTATTTCTGGGAATTCGAATGTACCTTGGTCAGCATAGTAACAATGCCCCAAGGTCCCCTTAAAAAAAAAAAAAAAGAAGACGTCCAGATTTTTTTTTTTTTGGGGGGGGGGGGCAGAGGCATGGTGGAAAACATTCTTCAGTTTTGCAGAATAGAGAAAGGGGTTGCTAAGATCCGACACAAATAGTTCCGGTCAAACCTAGGTTCGCATGATAGCAAAGGCACAACATACCCCTCATAATGCCCTCTGGCCTTCTCTAGCAAAACAAAAAAGTTGTCATCTTTTTTATCCAGAGGTGGGGGTTATTTCTCAAGAAATGTAACGAAATACATCCCATCTTGATTGTATTGCGGTACCGAGAAACATCCCAAATGCATTTCGATACAGAAATACAGATACTGGTAAAAAAAAAAAGTGTTGCAATACAGAACTGCAGACACTAAATGTATTTCTGAAATACTATTGCAATACATTTGTATTGCGATACTGCACAACCCTGCTTTCGACTTGTTGTCTCATGTAGATGCTAAAACAGAGATGATCGGTGAAAAAAAAATTGGTTTGGGACAAGTTGCTTCCTTATCTGCCGTCCTCTGACATGAATCAACAAGGGCGTTGTGACTGTTGGTAGTAACCGTCTGACTGACCTCTCGGGCCCTTGTCCTCCAAGGTCAGCGATCCCACTGATTGGAGATCCCAATTTGCTTAATTCTTAGTAGCAAAACAGGCTCAGCAAATGCCTAGAATTCGGGGATTTCAACCAAAATAATAATCACCTAGCGCCAAATCGTCCCCAAAAACTGTTTTTCTGTTATAACCGATTTTGCATTTTCGTCATCGGCGGATGTTTCTCAGTATTTTTAGGTTAAAACTGGAAAGTGACAACCTACCGATAACTTGGGTTCTGTGTTTTCTGGGCATTTTTTTTTCTCGAATTGTTTTTTTTTTTGGGGGGGGGGGGGAGTAACTTTTTGTGCAGATTCGTTTTTTTTGTTTTTTTTTGTGTGTAAATTGGTTATGACTTCAACCAATTTACACAAAAACACAGAATCTGTGGGAAAAACTAGACACCGAAAAAGAAATACAGTTGAACCTCGATGTAACGAAGTCGGTAAAATTCGCAATTTACTTCGTTACATTGAAAATTTGCTAAATCGAAATTTGGCTTTAGCATGCGAAAAAAAAAAATTCCGAAACATTTTACGGGTATGAAAACTCACCGAAAATGACATTTATTTAGGGGCAAAGTAGTCCGCGAGTTTTGCTTGGCCTTGTCCGACAGTAGCAGCGGCGTCGGCGGCGTCATACGGCGTTCGAGCGCCCAGAGCGCTTGCACGGCATCTTGCTGCCCATGCGACGCCGTGTACCTCCTCAGTACGTCCATTGCGTCGAGCACTTCCCGAGTGCTCGTGATCTCGGCAGTTTCTTCAGGATGGCGTCCAAAACGTTTGCTTTCTCATCCAAAGAAAGAACTTTACGTTTCCTTATGGCAGCGAGCACGTGAGTGAACCGCCCGGTTAAAAAATAAAGCCGTTTAGTTTAGGCGGTGCCAATGTTTCCAACCTACACAGCACTCTTGACCGCACAGTTTACTTGCCCCCTTGCGCCCACAGTGTGCTTGCGCCTTTGCTTTACATCACGCTGAGATCACGCTCGCAAGACGATAATCGGTCTTTTCGGTCTTCTCCTAGATGGCACTGCCCGTGCGGTCGCGCGGCGCCGCGGTAGCCTCCCTATCGCGCGGTCGCGCCATCACGTCGCTCCCCCGCTGAAGTTGGCTCCCGCGCTACCCGCGGTACAGTAAACTATGATGATCAGTGAATGTCAGTGGTGATGCTGTTATGCCGTGTTAACTTTTTGCTCGGCATTTTCTGGCCAGCCATGGGCCAGCCCCGCGGAATCCAAAATGCCGCATGCCTCGCCGGCGCTACCGGCGCCGCATCCTCGGGCAGCCTAGGAACGTTGGAAGGCCTGTCCCCGTGAAGTAACCTATCAAGCGCTCGCGTTTGCGCATAATTTTTTTTTTTAACCACAATTTTTTTGCGATGTTGTTTTTTAGAGTTGATTTATTTATTGCCTTCTATGGCAATGGCGCTTCGTTATATTGAAATAGCAGCAAAATAGACTTCGTTATATAGGGACTAAAAATACATGGGGTCTATGGGCAAGAAATTGTGAAAAATAAAATACTTCGTTAAATCGAGGATTTCGTTACATTGAAGTTCGTTATATCGAGGTTCGACTGTACCCCCAAATTTGAGCAAAAAAAATTAACTTCGAAAACAGTAAACAAGATAGCGTTTTCGGTTTTTATTTTTTTTCGAATTCGGCATACATTTATCGGTTTTTATTTCGAAATCCAATATTTGGTTTTTATCAGTTAATATACACCAGAAAATTTATCTTTTTTCTTTTTCAGTGAAATGTATTCTATTACACCTGTTCTTTTATAAGCACTCAGCGATGGATACAGTTGTAGACAGTAAGTTCCTTGAAAGTTTGAAAATCCAAAAAATAGGTAATTATGTCAGGAATATAACAAGATAGATTAAAAAAGAGTATACCATTTGTGAAAGTAACATGTATAGAAGGCAGTTTTAAACCCTGACAGAGTTTGAAACTGCCTCTATGCATTGGGAAGTTCTGAAACATTTTTGATAAGAAACTATCCAAATCACTTCTTAAAATCCCAGTGAACTCGGCACACGAGAACCGGTACCGAAGGAAAACAGAAATTTAACTCGGAAGGCGAGCCCAAGTACTGCACCTTAATGTCTGTGTTTACAGTTAGATCCTCCCCTGACTAAACGAAGGTGGGCCCCAATAATGAGCAACCAGCCCCATAAAACATTTGCAATGAGTTAACAACCCCCACCCCCTGCACGCACACATCCACACACAAAAAAATAGCTGCACAATTAGGTCTAAAATACTGACCCCTACCTAAACCTATAAAGTTTATCGACTGCTTCCAAGTTAGACACGTCTGTCCTGTGTGGTTCCAAGGAGTGGTCACAACCCAGCTTTGTTTTATGCTATTAATTAATTCATTTGCTGATGTTTCAGCACCTGTTCCTCAACCGAGGCAACATTGTCAACCTCGACAAGCTGGCTACCGACCAGTACAACGTGTGCCGTGTCAGCGGCATCCAGCGCCTTGCATTTGCGCTCTGCAAGGCACTCGCAAAACTTTATGGTAATTCTATCCTTGGTGGGTGGTGTGCCCCATTCTGACGTTTCAAAGTCCACAGGTGGAGCCTGTGGCCAGTGGGCAGGTGTACGTCTCCAATTTGCCGGACCCTAGCGCTAGCTAAGTTACCGCCGAATTCACAAACCTCATTCCAATTGAGGCGCCCCTCCACTTCCTCAAAGAAGGTGCGAGGGCCGGTGCTGGCCAGTCGCGACGACGGATAGCCGGCCTAGGCTGTTTAGCCGTCCTCGTGATTGGCCAGTGCCGTCCCTTGTGCCTTCCTTGAAGAAGTGGGGGGGGGGGGGGGGGGGATTGCCTCCATTGGAATAAAGGTTTGTGAATTTGGCAGTTAGTGTCCCTTTTCCCCTATGTGCAATCCCAGCCAATATGAGCTAGAGTGAAGAGCTTTCCTACAAGAACCTTTCTGATGCATTAATTCAGTTTGTTTATTTCTAAAGAGCATCTCAGTGCCTGCATTTTGATGTGTCATAATGCTCTACTGTAAAATCTCAAAAGGTAGCCCACTCCTATTTTTGGCTTGATTTGCTTTATTTTTTTAAACTCTGAAAGATAGCCCACTTCTAGTAATAGTAGTGTTGGGATCAGTGATGGCCTTGGCACAAATGCAGCTAGTGAGCTGTGGCGGGATACAAGTGAATGTTGCTGACTGGGAAGTACATACCTCAGGATTTTGTGGTATATGCCAAATGGCTTTAGAAATAAAGGGATCTGCAGAGATGCTTGAAACATCATCACTTTTCTCATGGTAAGGAACGAATTCAGGGCCATAGAAGGGCTGCAACAAATTGTGTAGTTGGGCTAGTTGGTTGGTCATTTTGAAATGGTATCTATCTGCTTCTTTTTATGTTTACTTACTGTACCATGCAGAAGAAAAATTTTCAGTTGTGAGTGCTGTGTCTGTGTTCTCTTCGTTTTTTTTTTCTTTTGTGCTGTTTTAATACCATTTTAACTATAGGGGGCAGGGATGGCGCCAGGATCTTCAGAACGGGGGGGGGGGGGGGGGGGGGGGGGGCAGTGGGGAGGCCAACCAAATTGGGGGGGGGGGGTTGCTCTGAGGTGCTGTCGCCCACGGGCTTATCGAAGATAGCTTATAGCTTATGCAGTGTGCTCATTGAAAAGGGAAATGAGGAGACACGAGAAGGAAGGGGCGGGGGGGGGGGGGGGGTTATTACAGCATTGACCTCTGCCCCCTGTGCTCATGACTCACAACCAGGTTTTGCTTCTTTTTCTTAGACAGTCCGGAATTCCTCATGACCTCGACTTTAACTAAGCTCCCCTTCGTTCACGTCTCCGGTCTCCGCTGAAGATAAGCGCCACACAGCGGAATGCGGAGAGAAAAGCCAGCAGGCGTCACAAAGGGGAGCTGCTTTTTCTAAGGCGCTAGATAGCTTACTCGCCCACGGTACGACTTGCAGTAGCTCGAAGTTAATAGAAAAAAAATAATAATAATAATAAAAGGTATGAACGGCTCTAATGTCTGGACACTCGTTCCACTGGGTTTTCAAGCCGACGTCATAGGCCATTATTTGTTTACAAAGCGGCTTCATCTTGAGGTGGCAGAAGAAATTTTAGGGGAGGCGCCCGCCACTTCTCGCCTTCCCTTGGCGATGTCCCTGATAGGGAAGCTTGCACACCATTGGTTGGGTAGCTTGCGAACCATGTCGCTGAGTGTCATTGTTGATGTGCACTTTTTCCCATAAGAAGAAACAAAGTCAATCAAAGCATCAAGCGAAAAGTTCAGTGCCTAATTATGAATGCTACAAACAGAATATTTGGAAGCCTTTTTCAGCTTAGGCCATTCTAGATGGTTCAGTTTTATTTTCTTAAAAATTGCTTTGAGAAGCTCTTTACAGACTGGTGCAGATTACATACCCGGGGTTCCCAAACTGGGTTCCATAGGCTGATCTTTTGGATTCCGCAAGCACCCAAATATATATTTCATTTTTTTTTATGGGAAAGTGAGGAACTGTATATTTGTACTCAAATGCTATGTATACCATGAAATACCGAGCATCTGCCGATTCCACATTAAGCGCCCACCCCTGAATGTTGTAACATCTAAAAAAATATGGACAGTGGAAATATAGATAACATTGATAGCATATCAAGTGCCCATCTCCCACTTTTTTGCGATGATCTCCGGATTTGTAGAGGGTGCCTGAGCGTTACTTTACGACATATTTTAGGGTTGTACAAATATTCTAAAATTCAGAATATTGAAGCGAATGACGCCATATTCTACTCGCACTTTGAATTGGTGAGGAGTATTCGGCAACTTCAAATATTTTCAAAGTATTTCTTCACTGCTATACACTGCCGCAACGCACCGGTGTATAGCGGTGAAGCGTGATGCATGCGTGGCGGAGCAAAGCACTGAAACTTTTGTGAGCACGATGGTGCAAAGCGGTAAAGCATGACGTGCCTGGTGCAGCATGAATGCTGCAGTATCAAGGAGTGTGGAAGGGGCGCAAGGGAAAGGTGGGTTCCATAGCACCTTTTGAAGGTTGCTAGGATTCCTTGTCACCAGAAGATTCGAGAACACTTGTTTGTAAAGGTTGAGTCAAGGTGTCGGATAATGCATTATCCGGCAATACAATTGGGGCCTCCATGTAACAGGCCAGCATTTCACCATGTTGCTCTTGTCGCCCAGGGGCAGGGCCAGATTACCCATATTTAACTGCTCAAATGAATAGGGCCCTCTGTGAGGGTATCCCCCCTGACAGGGGGCGTGTTCCAAACCTTACTTGACTGGATCCCAGCTACTCCTGCGGGTCATATCACGTGACATTTCAAGCTGAGCAACGCCAGACGCAAAAAGGTTTTCGAACACCAAGGTATGAAACTGTTACTCTAGAGTGAGATTGGGTAAATTTCGGAACACGGCCAGGTTGATCACAACCGCTGGCCATTGCTGAATCAATGGCAGCTGGCGTTGGCACGAGAGCACTCGACACAGAACACGCACAGTGGTCTGTGTTAACCGTTGCGTACAGCGTACATAATTTTTTTTTCTGCGTCTACCCTTCGCCGGAATATTCTGCAGGCTTGATTTGAAACAGTGATACGGTATTCATGCCCATACGACTCCAAGACTCGTGGTGGTCAGCCCGAGCGGATGCTATGAAGCTCTGTTCGCTCAAGAAATTAGGGTTGCCTTGAGGGTCTGAAGGTTAGGAAGAACTAGCAGAGACATGGGTTATGGTTGAAGACTGTGGGTATGACTGCAACAGTCGTAGCTTAATTCAGGGATAGAGTGTTGCAATGCTTCAATGCCATCAGAACGCTACATAATCAGACGCTCACATTGAATGAAGCTGTAAACCTGACGAAATCATTGAGTGATTATGTATCCGGTCTAAGGAAAAGATTCAGTGAAATGAAACAGGCAGCGAAGGAAACATTGGGAACTACGTACAAAGCAACAATCATAAGAAAGCAAACCGATCGGCACAAATGGCAACCTTCACCCTCAAGATGTCTCACTGAACTTGCACTGTGATACCAATATTGGCATGATTGACAACCTTCCGCATTCACTTAAAATTCGTTTCACTGCTTACAGCAAAGTCTGCCTACAGTTTACTTTTTATTGCCGACTGCGGCACACTTTCGTTGAAACAGTGGTGATTCCAGGCAATGGATAAATCTGGTCTGTCGGACGATTTCCCCGATGAACTAGAACAGTTCCTTTTATTTTCCGAAAAGGAAGGCTTCTGTAAGAAACATTCCAAAACTGTAGTCTCAGAAAAGCTTCAAGGCTCATTTCTAGGTGTTCATGTACCGATTCTAGATTTTTATTTTTTTATGTTTACAAACTGCAGGGGTGAACAATCTCTCTGTAGGCCCAGATTGACATAACACAGACTTCGATCAATGATGGCCAATGACCGCCTCAGTGAATTGTCCTTGCGGAGTGTGCACATGGATAGTTTCCGTTGGGTCGAAGTCCAAAAGTTTATAATCACGATTTGAACAAAAGATTTGGAAGATCCCGTGAAAGGTAGACATGATAGCAGCTTCCTTGTAAATTGTAAATGATGCTGAAGACAACGGTTGTGCAAATATTCATAACTTTTAAATATTGAAGCGAATAATGCCGTAATCGATTCATACTTTGAATCGAATAGGACTATTCGGTAATTTTGAATATTTTCGAAGTCTGAAAATAGGTCTGCAAAATATTGAGCCTCCCCCCCCCCCCCCACCTCCCGCAAAAATTAAGATGCTTTGCCATAGTGCTGTCGTGTAAAGTGTGAAGCTTCATGCAAGCATGTCGGGTGAAGCGGTGGAGTTTTGTGCGAGCGCGTAGTGCAAAGCAAAGAAGCTTGGCATCCCCGACCGAGCTCGAGGGCTACACCGTGGAGGCATACTTGGTTGATATGATAATCTTATGTTATATTGTCTAAAGGAAACTGGCTTTGTAGTATCACAGAAGCCGCCGTCCTGCCATTTTACAAAGTATCTCCTCATGATCTTTTAGCTTGTTCTCAACTGGTGTCTGCTGCTTGTGCAAGCTGATGAAGCATTTGGAGAAGATAACTATTTCGGTAGTTGGGACGATGACATGGCAAGCCCAGTTGAAAATGTAACGAGATACATTATTCCCTTGAATGTTGTGAGACCAGGAATATATTTTCACGTGTATTTCGATGCTGAAATTCAAGTACTAACCCACAATCTGGTGTCCTGTATATTGTTACAAAGGGAATGGAAGACCTACATATCATAGGTAAACTGGGCTTGTGTTGCTGTACCGGTTCCTTGACCACCGCTATGGTTCTCTCTAAGAGTAGCCTGAGGCAGTTGTGTTCAGTCCCCAGAATATCAAGTAGAGTCACTGCCTGCACTTTGATGGTCTCACACAGGTCATTCATGAGCGTGCATTGTTCTTACCATGTGAGACAACGCCATCAATTTTCTGGCAATGAAATGAACTCGCTAGCA